TAGTACTTGATCACTTGGATGATCTTCTGGGGTGCTTTTGCAATCTCTGCACCAGATTCAGCCTAATAATGTAAGTGAGCAAGTTTAGTGTGGACCCACCTAGTGGGCTACCAGCAAAAAAACCATATTTAGCCTGGGGTCAGGAACAGGGTGGACTAGGAAGGAAAATCAAGGTGCACCAGAACTTCATGTGAGAATGATATACTGCCTCACCGGCAGTCAAAATTTCTAATGCATTTTGGGCTTGCATCTTTGGAGGAAAAAAAAAAAAGAAAGGGGGGAGGAAATAAAGGGCAAGAAAGAGACCTAACATTCAACTAAGTATTTCCCAAAGCTAGTAGGTGATGAGTCCATAACCAAGATGCGCTTCCGTGTTCAGCCATTCACTGTTTCTTACTGCAAAATAAAGCAACAGGAAAAAAAATATTGATGTTGCTGTCATGGTTTGTAATGGTGCAGCTTTATTTTGGAGATCATTAGATTCTCTGCCACCTTGGAATTCCCATGTGCCTTAGTATGTTGTTTGCTTTCTGATTTGAGCTATGTCCCTTGGAAAAGGTCATGTCTGCAGTGTTTTTAGAATTTATATTTATTTTCCCCAAGTGTGCAACTTCAAAACAGCTTAGCTACTTGCATCAGGCTCTTCATGTTCAGGTCGAAATAGCGTCAAAAATAGCAGCTGGGGATATGAAGTAGTTGGAGTATGGGTTCGTGGTTTTGTTACTTGTGGTTTTAACTGAAACATATTGTAGGTTTTCATTAGCTGTTATTTCCTTAAGCATAACATGAAATTGCACTTCTTATCACCCTGATGGATAGCAGTCTCTGGCACTTTTTAACTGCTCTGCTAAATTAGGTAGCTTTTAAAAGGAATATATGCTGCTTTGATATATCAGGGTATTAACCTAGTGTCTGTACCATTTTGATTTATTTATCACTGCAGTGATCTGCTTTTGTGTGTTTTCTGTATCTCAAAGAAGAGGAACTAAAGTATTTGCCAGCCTGAAATTTCAGTAAAGGGAACACTTACATTATCATTTGGTCAGCCCCTAGAAAGGACAAGGTAGTTTCCAAATAAACTAGCATGTTGTCATAAACAGTGGAGTCTTTCTGAGTCATTCTCCTGGAAAGTACTGTTCAGTGTGTTCCCAGGGATTTTTGTACATTAGCTGTATGTGGTGAGCACCAAAAAGTCCTGCCCTCGCTCCATGGCATAGGCGTACTTCAAGTGATTTGCCCAGGGGTGCCAGGGTGGAGGAGGAAGCTGAGTTTGTGTGTGCAGGGTATCAGGGTGGTATCACATAATGCAGGCCTGTGGTGGAGGTTGTACCTGGATGGCTTAATACGAAAAAGCCACAGGCTGGATGTTCTTGCAGACTATCTGTCATTTCAGCCTTTTCAATTCATGAAGGGGGGGGGGGGGGGGGGTGTTCTCTGCATGACCACCGAATCTCTGAGGCACAGTCCTGTGTTTACCGTTGCTCAATACCACAAGGCATCTGCAGCTCATTTACTGAGGCATCATTCTGTTCCCCAGCCTCTGCTGCAGGCATTTATAATTTACCTGTTTGGGTTTTAAGTTGAGAAAGAATATGGCACCTGCCAGCACAAGGAGGCAGAGCAAGATCAGGTTTTTCCAAAGCAACACAAGGCTGGTTGGGACTTGACCTCCGCAAAACTTTGAGCCTGGTCTCACCTGTGCTGAGACTTTCTCTATGCCTTGCATTTACCAGGAGGTAATGCCTTGCATTTTCCTGCTTCTGGACTTGGAAAGTTAGGTAGTCCTTGAACAATTCCTTGGCACTGTGCAGTTTCCCAAGGAGCGTTTCTGTCATAACATCTGTCCAGAGTGTAAGCCAGCATCATTGGGAATGATCAGGAACAGTTGCTACAGTGGGTGCAGCACATCTTCACTGAGTATATCGCTGTTTTTCCGAGGAAGAGAGATGTCAGTTGCACTACTGCGTAACACGTGCTGCCTGGTAGGATAATAATGGGTTGGGATCTTTTCAGTCTTCTTTTGGATGTCGTCTTTTACTCTGCATTACAGCTCTTTTACTCATTTCTTTCTTTGGAAGTGAAGAGGTTGTGGGCTGCTGAGTTAATACAGAAAGTTGTTGCTCTCTACGCTTGTCTTGCAGTGTAAACAATTTCTGTTTAATTGGTTAAGATTGTCTTCCCAGTGGTCATATGTTGCACAGCTTCAAAGTGTTGTATTAGTAGATCTAAACACTTAATTTGAGCAGTGGTGGCATGCATCAGGCAAGGTGGCAGCTGTGCCTCTGAGCCCTGTGTCTATGCATCAGTAAATTTCATTTTGAAGCAGATAATTTCAAGGATTTTAAACAAAGGATGTAATCTTTAACCTCTGATATCTCCACCAAAAGTTAATGTTGCTGCTCTTACACTGCGGTCCAGCATCGTCACTTTTGTATTAAGCAGTAGGTCTTCATGAGCTGCTTGATATTACCTAATCCTAAATTAAATCTGAGCAATATTCTGCTCTGAAGCTGGCTTGCCTCTTCCTCTTTCAGTCTTTCCTTTATAAGAAATCAATGTTAATGTGTAAAAATTGGACATGTACAGCTGTTTCACTCTGTTAATTGAATTATGAAAAGCTTAAAAGGTAAGCTTAGTACATCACTGTTAAAGCCTACTGATGTGCAACAAAGATGTTGCACTCTTATTATGGAGGTCTAGCAGTATATTACTTCTGTGCAGTGATAACTCTAATTGGAAATCTAATAGGATACAAGAGATTTCTAAGACTATTACAAATGATAATATATTATTTTTTAAGTCTGTGGGATTTTTTTATTGACAGTCCTTTGGGCTGAAGCTGCAAATAAAATGCAGAATGTTGAAATATTTCGCGTTGGTTCAGAGGGCTGTAATCAGTGCTAATCACACATCACATTTCTTGAGTTCTGAAGTGCTCCCAGTTGCCAGTTCTCATGATCGGTGCTAACAAAGCTCAAGTACCTGTTCCCGTTCGGTAGCTCCATCTTTAGGGGAGGGAGGGGAGGATGATCTGTGGTGCAACTTGCAGTAATGACAGCATGTCAGTTGGTTGCTAATGTGTACATAAAGAGGTGATTCCTTGGAGTGGTGGCTGAGAGTGCTCCAGAGAGTCCTTTTCAGTAAGTTTGTGCAGTTAAGTTGGTGTCTTTCCAGAGGCAGAGCTTCTGTCGAAATACAACACTCTTCCAGTCTAATGCACAAGTGGTAGCTGGAGAGTACTGAGTGTCCAAATATATAGACCTGCATAGGACAGGGACAAGTCATTAAGGTGGAGTGGGATGCCAGAAGTGTTCAGGATAGAATGGCTTTTACTTTAATTTAGTACTGATCTTGAGCTGCACAAGGTTTCATGTTCTGGGGAGAAAAATCTTTCCCTCGTGGCTGGTGCATCACTTTACAGAGAATCTGTCTCCCTTTACTGCTTTCTTACATGCTTTCCTGCCCCTGGAAGCATGCTTTTAGTTATAGCTTTACTATTGTTGAATTATCTAGCACCAGCATATTGTGAAATTTTATTATTAGTCCAATCTGAAAATAAAATTTTAGATATGATAACAGAATTAATTCCCTTTCTCCCTCCCGATTCCCCTGCTGTCAAGAACATGTTCACCAGTACTGTGAAGAGCAGGGGAAAAAAAGCATGTCTCTGATCACTGAAGTTACTTTGACAATTTATGTTTTCACAATTGTATTTCTATTTGTAACATTGTTACTAACACTTTGCGATTACTCCGGTTCCCTGCACCTTAATCAAATGCATATTGTCATGTATATATTGAATTTACTGGATTGCCTTCCCTCCCAAGTAATACTGCTCTATGATTGTTATATTATAAAGAGAGCCTGTTTTTATCCTTCTGTCTTATAGTAGCTTTATTAAAAGAATAGGGAAAGAAGGCCAAGGCTGGTTTTCATTATATTAGGAATGTTAAGATCCATTCCCTTCAGAACAAGGGGAGGTTTCCAAAGCCATGGTACACCCACGATGGAAAAGGCTGTGTCAGCACCTCCCTGTATGCAAAGGGAGTTTTCAATTCTTGCATCTTAAAGATAAAATACTACCATAGCAGCACAGAATGAAAGAGGCAGCAATGGAGTCCTAAACCATTAATGGCTCTATTGGTTGAGCTGTATTTACGTGACATATGGCACACTGCAGAATACGAGTGTCTGAGGATCTCAGTAAAACTAATTTTCCACAAGCAGACGTTTGAGTTCTGCAACACCTTTGGTTTGTACCACTCATAGTGAGCTGCTGGCAGGTTAGGGAGAGTCTAGAGTTAGACAAAGCTGATTTGAGAAAGTACTGTTTTAATTCCCTTACAAAAACCATTCCACAATGCAAATAATATCAATGGGGTTAAGTTCATGTAGCCTCATTTTAGAAATCAGTGTAGCAAAATGATAAAAGTGTAGAACATTCGGACATTTAAGAGCATCATTATGTATTTTTCTTCCTTCAATTATACTATGAGCCTTGGTTTAGCAATAATGCAGGAATATATTTTAATTTTAAAGAACACACAAGATAAAGGAAATTAACATAAGTCCTTAATTTATTTAGTATGGTCTTTAATGTGGTACAGTTTTATTAAGACTGAGAAGGAAGAGCCATTTCTGAAATGCAGTAGGAAATTGTTCCTTGAAACTTAATTCTTCTGTTGTGTTGATAGTGTAGTATGTTTGGGAGTAGTTCTGGGCAATGCTATTCTTATAAAGGCCAGGAGAGAGAGGCTGGAAACTATGCCTCATCCCTAGTTTCTTTGCTTTGCTAGCAGTTGGGAACACTGATAAGTCCAGGTAAGATCTTTGAGATTTTGGAAGCATTCAATCTCCTTTTAATCCCTGTCTCTACTTCAGGTTGTGTATGAAGAGTAACACTGAAAACTTTTTTCCATATCATACTTGAAGAATGCATGAAGTCGTATTTATTTGGGCTGTAATCATATTCCTAAACAATTTTGTTTTTTATCTCTTAGTGCTGGCCCCAAAGGTGACAACATCTACGAATGGAGATCAACTATTCTAGGACCTCCAGGTTCAGTCTATGAGGGAGGTGTTTTCTTCCTTGACATCACATTTACACCAGAATACCCTTTCAAGCCTCCAAAGGTAAGAGACCTGTAGCTGATGCCTTAAGTCATGAATGCTCAACAGAGCGTTGAGTAGCATGCAGTGTTAATGGAATGGTGCCCGTTTGAAAGCCATTCTTTTTAAGAACAAACTTGAGCCCATTTCAGACATTACACAGGTTTTTATTAGCTAATGTTAACAGCTTTTCAAGTCCTCTTGATCGTTATTTTGGACCTTGTTTTCTTTTTTCCCTGCTTCTATTCATAAGAGGTCCAAAGCAAGTAGTGCAAGCATTGGGACAGGACTGGGAAATTGAGAAGTAAATAAATTTGAGGAGAGGAGAAAAGGCTACAAATACTTGTTTCTCAAACCACTTGGGTACTGTAAGCATAAGTTATGTGTGTTTTGGCCACTAAGGTAATATTTAATTAGTCCGTTTAGTTGGACACTTGTTCACCTATTTGTACAGTAACAGACTTTCTGTAGGTGTATTATATTTGTGAAGCTCTTACCTTCCGGTGTGTTTGTGTTCCAGTGTTATAAGGCAAATACCAGTGCAAGTGAATGTTATCTTGTGGTTCCAATACTTGGCCACGGGAAGAGTGTTAGGTTACCAGAAGAGGTGGTTGTGTATACACTCAGTGTTTGCCTTGTATCTGAAAGCATTTACGTGCATGTTTAACTTTCTGCTTAAAAGTTGTTTGATTCATGAGATAAATGCCGACAACTGCCCTATCTTCAGACTTTAGTCTAGTCTCCAGTAGAAAGGATTTGTCATAGTTCAGGCCATCAGTCCATCTCAGCAGAGACAATGCTAATTGGTCATGCAAGACAAATCAATACAAGCTTGCCAAATTAAAGAAACTTTTTGACTGTTTTTCCTAGCATAACTTGAGGGTTTCTGGTAGTATCAACAGGACCTTAAATTCCACCCCTAAGATAGGACTCTGATTCACAAGCAGCATGGTCCACCTTGGGGCATGTCTAGTGCTTTCCTACTGACATCTGTCTATCCCTTTTTGGAGATTCTCTGGCATCACGGATGGTTCTCTTGTGTGAGAACTTAATTCAGTTTAGAATAGTTTTTCCTTTTTTTTTTGTTTCATTAGTTTGCATTGAATAATTTATTGTCCAACCAACTATATGCAATTTATTATGTCATGAGCCCAGTACGCATTTAAAGAGGGAGGTTTTTCATTCCCATGTGTGCTTTGTTACACCTTTGCTTTCTGTGCCGCAGGTCAGAAGCATTTATCACCCCAGGCTTATCCAGACTCATCGCAGAATCATGAAGTGGTTTGGGTTGGAAGGGACCTTAAAGATCATCTAATTCCAGTCTCCTTGCCATGGGAAGGGATGCCTTCCACTAAACCAGGTTGCTCAAAGCTCCATCCAGCATGGCCTTGAACACTTCCAGGGATGGAGCATCCACAGCTTCTCTGGGCAACCTGTTCCAGTGCCTCACCACCCTCACAGTAAAGATATTCCTCCCAGTATCGAATCTAAACGTACCTTTTTAATTTTAAAACTGTCACTCCCTTTCTCTGCCCTTATAAAAAGTCCCTCTCCAGCTCTCTTTTAGGCCCTCTTTAGGTACTGGAAGGCTGCTCTAAGGTCTCCATGTAGCCTTCTCCAGGCTGAAAAAAACCAACTCTCTCAGCCTGTCTTCATAGGAGAGGTGCTCCAGCGCTCTGATTGTCTTCATGGCCCTCTTCTGGATTCACTCCAACAGGTTCACATGCTTCTCACGTTGGGGGCCCCAGAACTAGATGCAGTACTCTAAATGGGGTCTCGCGAGTGCTTGGGATTGCCCCAGGACAGTTACAGGACCTTGCACATGGCCTTCTTAAAATTCTTGATTTTTGTGTGTTTGAGCTTATCCAGGAGCAAATTGTTCAGGTCTCTTTGCCTTCTCTGGCAGGTGGACCCCATCAGTGCCCAGCAGACAAGGTTTCTCAAAGGAAGTCCCATGGTCTGAGCAGCCAAACACCCAGCTGGAGCATCAGTCCTGTAACCATTTGTTGCAACTGGCCCTTTTGAACCCTTTCCCTTTGACCAGGAGGATTGATAAAAAAGCTAACCAGTTCTTTCCTGTTGCTCCCAGGGCTCTGTAATCCTTCTTGACACTGCCAAGACTGCTCCTGGCTGTATCACTGGTGCCCAGGTGAAACAGCAGCAGTGGGCGATGGTCAGTGGATTGTACAGGGCCTGGAAGCCTGTCTGTGACATCCCTGTTATGAGCCCCTGGTGAGCAGCACATCTCTCTAGAGAGTACATCAGGTCTGCACACGGGTGCCTCCGCACCTCTTCGAAGACTCTCCTACTACTGGCACCTGATGCCTTCTCTTAGTTGCGCTGGTTGTTACACAGGGAGTGGATGGGGCTCCCTTACCCAGTTCCATGTCTTTCCTGATGTCATGGGTCTTTCCAATCTCAGAGCAGCAAAGCAATTCTGCAGAGGCACGTCAGGCTTTGGGGGGAAGTCTCTTCCTTCTGCAGGTCCTTGCTGGGGCAAGCTTCATTCTTCTGCATTATTGCCCCCCCCCCCCTTCCCTGTGTGCTGGTGGGAATGCTTCTGGCTGCATGCTGTGGGTCCACTGCAGACTGAGCCTGGAACCAGCTGTCCAACTCCTGCTCAGCAGCCCTGATGCCACTCAGCCTTCTCACTGAGCCTCCTACAGCTCAACCACCTGCTGCAGGAGGTCCTCCACCTGGGCACACCTTTTGCAGGCAGATCTGCTGCCTGTCCTGCCCCAGGAGAAAGGTCTCAGCACTGCCTTGAGCCTGAGGTCTGCACTGCAGCCTCTCCCTTCAGCAGCTGCATCGGGATGGAAGCATCTGCCACTGCAGACAGTGCAGATGCCCCAGGCAGAGCTGCAGCCTTTGCTCTCTGAGTGCCCACATTCTGCCTTGAGGGTCAGGTAGGATCTCTTACAGGACCATATTGTAACTACTGGTGATATTGAGACGGCCTTATATGCCGAGTTCCCTGATGCAGAACTAAATATACAGTTATGTCATACAAGCTCAGCCGTGCTTTCTGCTCTGTGCTTCTGACAGGAATCTCTTTATCTTTGGATCTAAACCCTCACCCAGATGAAAAGAAGGGTGGGATTAAAAAAACAAACAACCACCACTTAATGAGGCTTTAAAAGACTAGTTTAGTGGCCATTCACTGTACTGTAGCAGTCTCATTTAAATGGAGTCTTTCATCTAGCAAAGCCCAAGTCGGTTTACAAACCACTTATATGTATGGAAATAAAATACATGTAGCTTCAGTCACATTGAGATGGGATATAGGAGAAAGCATAGTGATGCTCTAATAGAAGATACTTGTGCTACATGAGTACTTCAGGTTTAAACAAAGAGCCTTTCTTTGCTGCTTCTGTGTTAACATCTACACTAGAGTGAATAAATGGTAATGTGGAAAATATAATTATCCTATTGCTCTTGCTTTATTCCTGCTATTTTGTTGTTTTCAGATTGTCCCAACTACTTGCAGTGACCAGTAAATACTGTTTGTGGGTCATCTTGAAGTGCTAGGCTAATCTAATTACCATAGCCTTCCTTTATGTCTTTTAGGGCAAAAAATAAAGAAACAGCTGGTTGAAACAAAACCCAGTGTATCACTTCGATGATAAGCACTAGCAGAGTAGTAATTTTAGAATAGAGTAGAATGTCATTTTAAAAGCCTGAAAGAATGTAATTTTAAAAGCCTAAAAGCTCTGAAAAGATTAAACTCTCTAAAGAAAGAGGACTAGTTTCCCTTGAATCTTCCTTGGTAAGCCTTGTAAAATCAGTGGAATAAAACCTCTACTGCCTCCTTGAGTCTTTGAGGACAGTCCCTGCTGTGGGCTGCCCGGTGGTGAAGTGCCTGTAGTTAAACACATTTCACAACCTGAAAATGAAATGTCATTAAAGGATTTACTTTCTTAAATAAAGCAAGGTGAAAATGGTCATCCTGGTAGGCTTCCAAGCCCTTAGGAATATGCATGAGAGAAGGTGTTGAGGCGTAACCACTGTTGACAACTGCTATGTGGCTGATGAGCATCCTAGAGATGTGTGATAAAGGGTATACAGGAGCAGCCTTTGAGGACTGGGTCTGGCTCCAGCTGAGGGTTTGATTCAGTATGTTGGTGCAAACATTTTTGGAGAGTCAGAGGACTGTGCTGGAAGTGATATTAACAGATTCCTGGAAGGACATAAAGAGGGACTGCACTACTGTACTTGAGGGTGGAGAAATGAAACGTCTTAAAATTTGACTTGGAAATACATTGCATAATACAAGGAACTTCAGTGGGAGAAATCTGATACAGGGACAGATACTCTCTTTCATGTCCTAAATATGTATAATGGAGTTCTTTTGCATTTATTGAGCATTCCATATACCACTTTGAAGATTTTAGTGTTAATCTGTTCTCTACTTTTTATGTTTTCTCATTTTGTGTGGTGTTCTGGTTTTGCCTATGTCTGAGATAGCAATTGAATTGGGCACGTGCTGGGAGGGCCTGGATTTAGGAGAATCCAATAAACAAGTATAATTAGAATTTAAGAGTTCAGTACTTGTACTATTACAATGGACATTTCCCCAAGAGTTATATTATAGTTGGATTAGGTTTCATTTATTGAGGTGAAAACAGTAGCTTGTGTTGACCTGGTGTGTGTGCTTTGATCATTTGTATTAATAACCTCTAACCACTTCCTTCTACCCACTCCTATTCTGCTACCTGTGTAAATTAACCTCTGCTATCACTTCAGGGTAAGGTCGAGAATAGCTTCTTTTATGTCTTTTCAAAAGCTGTGCTTAACTCTGTGTAGTTACTGCATTAATGTAATCTCAGGTGCCCATTTCCAAAGGATTGTTCAGTTGTACTATATTTTTCTGCTATTCTACATGTTGTTCTCTTTACTACCTTCTAAGTAACTCAGTTTCTTTTGATTTTGGTCTTAATCTGCTAGGTTTATATGATTTTTTTTTTCCCTCTTTAAGGTGTAATGAACATTTACTTTAAATATTTTTGTTTGTTTTCAAGCGGGCCTCCAATTTCTCACCCTCTTCCAGCTCCATTTGGGTTCCTTGCATGGCTGACTTTTGTACCGTCAGCAAAAATTGTAAATGGCAAACAGCTGGACTACATGTTTCTAACACGATCCTAGTTCTGACTTGCTGCTTTAAGTGAAAACAAATTTAGATTTTTCCCACAGTGTTTTGGTAGAGCTCCTCTAGCTGGAGAAAACTGCTTTTGGTGCCATGGATGTATCCCTTAAGAATTCTATCTTACGGTGTGCTAAAGAACCAGCATGTTCTGCCAATATATGGGAGTCCCTTCTTTTGTTTTTGCTTTCCCCTCCTTCATGAATAATAATTAAAAAGTAAGTCTTACTTTTAAAGGCAGACAGGATTCGTGTTTTGCTCTCAGTTATCAGTCAACTAGACTGAGAGACTGCCTACAGAGTATTCAGCTTTTGTGCTGAGCATCAGGATTAACAACTTTCTGTCTTTATAGATTAGAACTGTTGACCTCTGGTAATTTGGTCCTTATTGTATCTACTTGGAAATACTCCATGCTTCCCCTTCTGGAAGTGTTTAATCTGTCAAAATTCTTACCTCGTTTACATTTAGAGTCTTCTTGGAAGGAGACCAAGGATGCAGGTCAAATAGAGAAACACTGAGCAAGAATGGGGCTGGGCTGAGGCTGCTTGGCAACCCAAGGCAGAGCCGTCACCAGCAACTGCAAATGCCACAAACTTCTGTTTTGCCCTGAACAGTGTGGGTTGGGGCAGGTACCGCAGAGGCAGGTCCGCCCTCTGCTCAGGCTGATGCACGTGGACTTCCACATGACTGTAGGGAGTAATTAGTGCTTTTCCTCTGAAGATTAGATGATCTGGGAAACAAAGGTCACTTTGGTTTCTTGTCTGCTATTATGCCTCTAAGGTTCCCTAGGTAGAAAGCAGCAGGGGTTCTCGGTTTTGGAGTGGCAGCTTGTTGCAGAAGGTGTGGGAGGATGACACATCTCTGCTCTCTTTCAGTCATTTTGCTATTCCCACCCATAATGTGCTAACGTGCAGGGATTTGGGGTTTCCTTCGCTTCCTGTTTTAATCCAAAATCCAGGAAGCTCACAAGAAACAAAGTGTAAAGTCTCCCTGAGTGTGCAGTGTGGGTGTCTCCTGTGTGACAAGTAACCGCTTTTGCAAGTCCAGAAATAGCCTGTGTGCTCTGTGCATTGGGAGCATTCTTGGAAACACTGCATGGATTCAGTGCACAGGGACACAGCAGGCACCAGGGTTTTGTAACTGTGTCACCTCACCCTGCGTCTGCTTCCCAAACTGGTGAGAGCGAGGGTCACAGGCAAAATTTTTGCATCAGAAAGGCAGTAGAAAAAATGAAGGTTGACTGGCAAGTTTTATGTGTGGGCTGGTCTCATGTCGAGGTGAAGCACTAGTGTGTTCTTGTTACACCGCAGGCTTACCGAGTGTGTTTTGTAAATACCCCCATGACCTATAAACAAACCATAAAATTTGCAGGTGTGGGTGTGGATAGCTGACAAATTTTGAGGATTTAGGGCATGAACCCACCAGCCTCTATTCATCCACATAATCCTAATCCATGTAAGTTCCACCAAGTTTGTTGTTGCTGTTCATGCAGTGAGTCAGAGTAAGGCCTCTGTATGGGTCACATTGTGTTCTTCTGAAGCTGGCTCATGGTGCTTTTGTTTCGCTTTCGGGTAACTTCTCTGGCAAGCTGTCTCACTCAGTCATGTCTCCCAGATTTGAAAATAGGAAAATCCAACTAATTTACCCTATTGCTGAGCTCTTAAAAGTGATGAAAGCTGTGATTCCAAGTGCCCTGGCCTGTCTGGAGTATTTTACAAGTTCTTGGGAGCCCAGCAGGAGAAAAATGCTGGTGTTAAAGCCCTGGGCCCCTTTGCCACTGCGAGCAAAAACATAAAAGGTAATTAAAAAAAAAAATTACCCCCACACACACATACTGGGTTTTGCGGTGGCCGTGGAAGTTGGCTCCTGAGACTGTTACTCATTTTTAGTTTAAATCAGGCTCTTTTTGGTTTCCACCGCGAGAGGGCGGCGGCGGCCCGGGGAGCTCGGCGGTGGGTCAGCCCGGGACCGCTGCTTCGCTCTCACGTTGTACCGCCTGTCCCTGCGGCACGGGTGCTCATAGCTCTCTCTTGCAGGTAACATTCCGGACAAGGATCTACCACTGTAACATTAACAGCCAAGGCGTCATCTGCCTGGACATTTTAAAAGACAACTGGAGTCCAGCATTAACCATTTCTAAAGTTCTTCTCTCCATCTGCTCCCTCCTCACAGACTGCAACCCGGGTAAGTTCCCTGCATGGCCACACAGGCTGCCTGCCACCTTGCACCCCTCCTGGCATCCAAATATTACATGGCCCTCATCTCACCCCGATGGCTTCAGCCAGCATGGCTCCAGCCTCCAGAGCAGCAGGTTTCCCTCTCCAGGGCAGCCGGAGAAGGGCTGGAGGTGGTGGAGGTGATACACCCAAACAGCCTGCTGTTCACAGCTCCTCAGGCTGACCCAAGAGGAAAGCAGAGGTCCTCCTCGTGCACACGAAAACTTCTTCCTCTTCCAAACCCACCCTGGGTTTGGGTAAGGGTTGAACACTCTTTGCTGGTCTGTAGGGTTACAGTAATTCAGCAATGGAACTGGAAGAGCCACAAACGCAGTTCTGAAAACAGGGGATTAGCCTCTTACTTTCCATCATCCATTTAAAACCAGTGACCAACTGTACCACAAGTAATTGTCACTGCTGCTTTAACTCACCCACTATCCACACCAGTTAAGAGGAATGTGTCTTGGTTTTCAAAGTCAGTTTTACAGGTTGTATTTTTATATATCTGAAGATCAGAGAAACGCCAGATTTCACACTGTGTTATATATGCTGAACTTATTGGAACCTCTTATTGAGGTCTGATCTTTCCTAGAAGGCAGGTTTATATTGATACAAAGACATTTAGCAATGCTTTTAGAGGGAATAAAATAAACCTGAAATGCATGAATTGGTGAAAGTTATCAGTAATGCAAATTATGACTGATTATTGTCTCTTAAACTCCTTAAAACTTTGTTGACATTTCACTCTATTAAGTTATAGATTAGTACATCACCATAAATACACGAAATCAGAGAGGATACAGACCATCAATTCAGTATATTTAGATTGTTACAGTGAACCTTCACTTGTATTAAATTCACAGTTCAGCTTTATTTTAAAGTTTTTATTTGGTAACTCATCTAAAATAAGCAGTGTATTTCCTTTTCAGCTGACCCCCTGGTTGGAAGCATTGCCACTCAGTATATGACTAACAGAGCAGAGCATGACAGAATGGCCAGACAATGGACCAAAAGATACGCTACATAAATTGGATTTTCGTCAAACTCTTACATTATTCGTCTGTGATGGAAAGAGCTGCTTATGAATTTGAAGGGGTGGGGGGTGGGAGGGTGCTGGTAAAGAGTAGGGTATTTCTATAACAGATTTTATTCAGTCTTTTATTTCCTAAGATTTTGTTGTTGTAACTTAAGGTATCTTGCTACAGTAGACAGCTAGGATTGGGAATAGCATACTTTAAGACTGTAATTAGTTCAGCAATATTAGCTCACATATAGTACCGAGAAGAATGTAAACTTCTTAGACTTCTTTGGTTTTCAGTTTGCTTGCAATATGTAAAAGATTAAAACAGCTTAATTTTGTACAGGTACATAGGTTGACGTTTATGTAAAAGTCCTTTCAAGACTCTACACACTGTTTTTGCTTTTTGTTTGTTTTGGGTTTGGGGGATTTATTTTGTTCTGGGTTGGTTTTGGTTTTGGGTTTTTGTTTTGTAAAAAGATGTCAGCATTGTTTTCCCCTATGGGAGGTCACATTGGTATTTAACAAAACCTTTTTAAAGACTGTCATCTCATGATCTGTGATATGGAGAGGTGGATATATGGCCTCATATATGAAAGGAGAAGTAGTTAATGTATTATTTTATAAGCCAATCTATCTTTGTGAAAAGAATAAAGGGTTTAATCAGGACTTATGGTAACCTGTAGTGAAATACCTTAAGCTGTTTAACTGTAAGGTGTGGAATAGGAGTCACTCAGTGGATTGGTTGTATGTTGTGGGCTACTTAAGTCTGCATTTGTTACTGTGCTAATAAAAAGATGTTTAAAAAAAAAAAAAAAGAAAATATTTCTGCTTAGTCCCTTGCTTTCCCATTTTGCCAGAATGGTGTCTCCCACTACTCTTTGATGATTACAGTATGGTTAAGGCAAGGGAGATCTGCAGGTGAGTGCACTGACTGCTGCTATTTTGGGAAGACAGTTCTAGACAACCATACAATGAATGACAGCATAAGACCTTTGCAACTGTTCACTGTCTTAAGTGTTGTGCAGGGCCATGGCCATGAGGAGGTAACATACCACAGAATCCATGATAGTTACTTTTTAGTGGAAGTTTTCACAGCATTGCCTCTTCAGGAGTGGCATGTTTTGTGAAAGTACAACTGGAAAAGTGTAAGCAATCTAGAAGGAAAAGAGGCAGGAGGTAAAAGGAAATAAAAAATATCTTGATGCTTTTCTGATGGAGTGGTCTATTTGGACTTGGAAGAGAAGGAATCGTGTCCTGGTAAGCTAGCAGGAGACACTGTAAAGGAGACTTAATCTGTAGATCTTTTAACTACCTATAAAGATTATCTCCTAGAGACATGGTGTTTACACTGAGGTGTGTAGCAACAGGGCAGTTAGTTGTGGATATGGCATTTCAGACCACTCCCTTAAGGTAAAGGCCGGAAGCACAGATTGATTTTCACATGGCGAGTACTTCACCTTGTGAAATTCTTCTGGGTGCCACGTGGTCATCTGCACTCTCGGATTTGGGTTGGTACTTTAAAATAAATTCCATATATATTTTATTTACATACTTTTCTTCCTATCTAGATACAGACCCAATCTAACTTGGTCCAAAGTAAGCTGTTAATTAGAGGTGCCCTTTCCTTTGCTGGGTGGCTGTGGGTATGTTTATGTGTATGTTTAGGTGTATGAGCCCTCTCAGCTGTTTGGTATATAGCTACAGCACACCAGGAGCATCTCTGGTCATCTTTCCCTCCTCTCCTTTACTGAGTAAAGATGTAAATGGTTAAATATCAGTAGGTGTTTGCCAGCTTCTTGCTTTGTGCTGCCAGGACATGCCAAATTAACTGTTGTAGCTGGTGAAGGTGACTGATCTGTACAGTGGGTATTCAGCAGGATAGAGGTTTAAGAAGAACAGAGAAAGATAGTACAATTTACTAATTTATTTTTCTTCTTTTTAACAATTTTTCCCCATTAGCTCGTGAAGGGACTCTAGCTTTGCAGAAGGTAAGTGATCCCAGTGACCTAGAACAGGGTTTGAGTCAGTGGAACAGTAAGAACAAAATACGTGTTCTGCCCTTTAAACTACTCTGTACTTTACTTATTAACCCTATGCAAAACTGTACTACAGCAAGTTTCATTTTCACTCAGTACCAGCCACTGTATGTATATTGTTTGCAGAGGAGACACTACATTTTCCATCACTTGTCAATAAAATGCTATGGTATTTAGAATAGATTATTTGAGTGCTTAAAAAGCATCAGAGTAAGCTTATGAAAGAAAACAGTGGGTGGTGGTTTTTTATGTGAATGCATTGAATGATCTAAACTCATTTCTAGGGAATTAGCCAAATGAAAGATAACGTGTTTGCCTTTATATAACCTATTTGAAAAAATGGCCTCAGTCACTTAGAAGATCTTTTTTGTCTTGCTTGTCTTAAAATATTGTCAAGTCCAGGAAGTCCAGGGGAGCAGGTGAGCAAGCTACACTTCCACTGCACAGCTCTGGCAGCCTACAGGTGACATCAGTCTTGGCAGTAGAATTGGCACTGAGTCTGCGGCGTGCAGAGCTGGACAGGAACCAGTCATCTCCATTCTTTCCATCTCCACACGTTTTAAGTTAATTCGGACTTGTCAACCTGTGCTCCCTTTGCTCAAGGGTGAGCTTCAGTGATGATGTGATGTTAGTAGATGTCTTCACATATTTTGATTCATCCAAAGCTGATTCAAGTCCCTTCTAGAAGAAGGATTCTGCAGAGCTGAAGAAGGGGAACGTGACCCATTCCTTGGTAAGAGGTTGCAGCAAGGAGGTGAACCGCTGCTGCTCTGAAGTTGCCTCTACTTCCCAAGCATGCAGGCAGATGTGGAGTTTTCTGGGCAGGGAGTAGCCTGGAGTACACGTGTGTTCAGTAGGAAATGAGTGAGTAGTGGGTGTTGTCCTGCAGCATCACTGGGGACAATGACTATTACTAGCCAGGCTGGAGGAGGTCATGCTGTAGTGCTTACTCAGCTGCAGTGTTGCAATGGAAACAATTGTATGTTTCTAGCAGGGCAGTGCAGGAGCTTGCTCATTCATAATTGGTCTCTTATCTTACTCCTTGGCCACAGCAATCCAAACTATATTGAGCAAAGCACATAAACAGTTTCATCTACCTTCAGTATAATGGTAGGGATACCTGCTTCGTTTTTAGTGAAGTGTACTGCTGCTCTGACATCAGTAATGCTGACAGACCTTATTAACCAGTATTCAGGAAGAGCAATACTATAAGCTTAATTGTGATCATTAAGTGCACTATTTAGCAGTTATGATATGACACTGCAAATACTGCTTGTGGTTTTGCTGATTCACAGTGGAATTCTCAGTATTTGTTCAAAACAGCAGTGAAAAATGCAGGAACTGGGTATTTAGGTTCATTCCCTCTCCCTGCTCTCGTCTTCAAATATAAAGAAAAGGTAGCATCTTTTAGTACAGGAGGTTGTTAAGATGCCAAAAACTGGCCACTGTCTCTGGGAACAGTTGCTCATTCTGTCCCTCTATATATATCCCCTTTTGTTAACTTTACTGACAGGCTGACCTAGGACAGCAGATTCCTGCAGCACAGGTTTACCTTTACCAGCACTGAGTTAACACAGCACATCCAGTTGTGCTCCTGCTGCTGTACAATGTGCAGCATGATAGGTCCAAACCTGTTTGGTACAGGTATTTCTGGGTGTTTTCCATGAGGATAGTCCCAAAAGGCAGCCCCCTACACTCCCTGGCCCGCTGTCACGGAGCAGTACAGCACTTTGTACCAGTTATTATCTGGCCTGTAGCTTCGTACAGGGGGTGGATTGCTGCAGCTTGGCTGAGCAGCCGGGTAGGGGTGTTATGCAATGCACTAAGCAGAGCCCAGGCAGTACCTCCTGCATACAAAATTGCCCTGTATAATTTCTCAGTACAATTATCACCTATGTGACTGTGACTGATTTGTACTGGACATGCTGGAACAAACCCACATACAGCTATCTTGTCCGTCAGGTCGCAGTTAAATTAAGGAGTGCTCTGAGAGCTTTTCTGGTTTGTACAAATGAGTTCTTGAGCTGGAAGCACTGATTGCCAGACTTTGTTGACAAGCTTCATGTCAGGGTATTTCCCAGAAGATGTGAGGGGTGTTTTTGTATGATTTTGGGGTTTTTTCTTCCTTCCAGACACTAGCAGAATATCAGTGGCTAAATCTGGTAATCATTTTCCTTCCCCATACCCTTCTCCTGCAACAAGACACTGACCTCAGCCTTCTGCAGCATCAGTATGCTTTGTGGCCCTATTTAAGGTCAAGGTAAAAGAACTACTGCCATTTCAAACATACTGTCTCTCCAAATTGCTTTATTGCAGCTAATACTATTTGTGACTAGAGGCTACAGATCTGCAAGGCCATTGCTTAATGGTAAGCTTGTTGATTTGTCCCTCAACATGGCTGCATCCAGGCATATTAAAAGCCCCTGATAGAGAGGTGTCCATCTATCCCTTTTGTCTTCATAACCCTTGTTGCAAGATAACTGCTCTCATGAAGAACTTTTTCAGGTTTTTTTCAAGCCAAGTCTGTGAGAAGGAAGGATACCTCTTAGCTATAATCTTGCTGATTTTATTGCTGAATGAGATTATTGCTTTAAGTGAAACTGCAAGAAGCAAATGGCACAAAAAGGACTTAGACTGGGACCTGGCAGCAGGAGACAATGCTAGGCTAGCCTAGTTATCACAGTTATTCCCTTTGCTCTTCCTTCCAGGCAAGGGAAATGTTGATTTGTTCTGGGACTGGGACAGTTTGCTAGCTAAGAAGGTGAAGGGTTCAAGCAGTGTTTTCCGATCTGTCACAGTCACTTCCCACAGTCTCACTTTCTCAGCCCTTGCCCATTGCTGTGCTGCTTCTGTTTCCACTTGCCTTTGGTCCAGGAGGTCAGTTTTGTTTCCCAAGACAATAACTGTTACCTACAAACCAAACAAGAAGGGTGAGCTTTATACCAAAACCATCCATCAGTCACAATCCTTTTAAACAGCAAGCAAGTAGCTACACAGTTCAGACATGTCCTTTAACTTAGCCCTGGCACAAGGTAAGTTGCATGTAGTTTGGAAGATCAGGGTCTGTGATTTGAATTAGCCTCATCTACTTGTGGGTTGGGAGCTTGTTTTCGTCATAGGATATGCAAGACTTCCCCCTTCTCCCCACCCTGCTCCCCCCACCAATTGCTTGGAAGGGAAACAATACCAGAGAGATCCAAAGTTAAACAGCCTGATTCTCCACTTACTTGGCAATTGAGCTGTCCTAGGCAAATGATAAGAGCATGACATCTGAGTAGGTCAGAGCAGCAGATGCTTAAGACATGAAAAAATGCACGGCAGCAGAGAAAGCCTGGACCCCACAGCTGTGGATTTTGCCTTGTTTGTTTCTTTTCCAAGCCCCAGCCCACAATATAAATAAAGCCAACCGTGCCAGTGGCCCGGGCAGGCTGGGCTGCTGGGCCCCTCTCCCAGCCCGGCCCCACTGGCTGTCCCGCCCCAGGCACCAAGAGCCACGAAGCAGGGACAGTCTGCTGAAAGGGGCAGATAAGCACCAGCACTGTCCTCTGGGAAGCAGTTTCAAGAGCAGCTGGTTATTAGCCAAGTGGAGCAGCACAGTGGTATCAAGTCAGATTCACAGCTGTAAGGATCCACCAAGTGCCTTCTGTATGACCGAGACAGTACAGGGTGGCTGAGCTCAGTAGGTATATGCAGCCTTCCCAGTATTTCAGTTCTAGGAAGTGCTGAAAGTAGTGCTGGACATGTGAAGTTACTGCTCCTCCTTATTTTAAGCTAACCATT